GCACCGCCGTCCTGGCGGCGGGGCGCCGCAGGCGCAAGACGCAGAAGGAGAGGCGCCTCGCGCGCAAGACGGCGCCCGTCGCTCTCGCGGTGTCCGCCCGCCAGGTCGCGCCGCCTGCGGCGGCGGCCTTCTGCGGCAGCCGCGCGGCGGCCGCCAAAGAGGTGTGCACCAGCCTGCGGGCCAAGAAGTCCGTGGAGGACCTCGGCGAGGCGGACCTCAAGGGGAAGACGGTGCTGATCCGGTGCGACCTCAACGTGCCCCTGAACGCGGACCTGGAGATCACGGACGACACGCGCATCACGGCCTCGATCCCGACGATCGAGTACCTCTGCAGCAAGGGCGCCAAGGTGCTGGCGTGCTCCCACCTGGGCCGCCCCAAGGACGGGCCCGAGGAGAAGTTCTCGCTGAAGCCAGTGGCGAAGAAGATGGGGGAGCTGATGAAGAAAGACATCAAGTGCGCCCCGGACTGCAAGGCCACGGACGAGGTGAAGGGGATGGTGTCGGCCATGTGCGAGGGAGACGTTCTGATCTTGGAGAACACTCGGTTCTACAAGGGGGAGACCAAGAACGATCCTGAGCTGGCGGAGAGCATGGCCAGTCTGGCGGACCTGTTCGTGAACGACGCGTTCGGTACCGCGCACCGCGCGCACTCCTCCACCGAGGGCGTGACCAAGTTCCTGAAGCCGAGCGTCTCGGGCTTCCTGCTGAAGAAGGAGCTGGACTACTTGAAGGGCGCCGTGGACAGCCCGGTGAAGCCAATGGCGGCCATCGTGGGAGGCGCCAAGGTGAGCACGAAGATCCCGGTGATCGAGTCCATGCTGGAGAAGGTGGACAAGGTGATCATCGGCGGAGGCATGGTGTTCACCTTCCTGAAGGCACGCGGCCTCTCGGTCGGGAACTCCCTGGTGGAGGACGACCTCATCCCAGTTGTGAAAAAGCTGGAGGAGCAGGCCAAGGCCAAGGGCGTCGAGATCATCCTCCCGAGCGACATAGCTTGCGGCGATGAGTTCCCCGCGGGGGGCAAAGAGGTGAACTACAAGGTAGTGCCCGCGGATGATATCCCCGACGGCTGGCTCGGCCTGGACAACGGCCCGAAGGCGACCGAGGAGATCAAGGCTGCTCTGGCGGATTGCAAGACGATCATCTGGAACGGCCCGATGGGCGTGTTCGAGAGCCCGCAGTTCAGCAAGGGCACTTACGACGTGGCCGAGTGCATCGCCGAGCTGACGGAGAAGAACGGCGCCATCAGCATCATTGGTGGCGGTGACTCCGTGTCCGCAGTGAACAAGTCTGGCCTGGCACCGAAGATGTCGCACATCTCCACCGGGGGCGGCGCCAGCCTGGAGCTGCTGGAGGGCAAGGTGCTGCCAGGGGTGGCTGCGCTGGACGAGAAGGAGATGGCCGCCGCGGCGTTCTGCGGACAGCGCAAGGTCTCCAAGGCTTCCAGGACCAGCCTGCGGGCCAAGAAGTCCGTGGAGGACCTGGGCGAGGCGGACCTCAAGGGGAAGACGGTGCTGATCCGGTGCGACCTCAACGTGCCCCTGAACGCGGACCTGGAGATCACGGACGACACGCGCATCACGGCCTCGATCCCGACGATCGAGTACCTCTGCAGCAAGGGCGCCAAGGTGTTGGCGTGCTCCCACCTGGGCCGCCCCAAGGACGGGCCCGAGGAGAAGTTCTCGCTGAAGCCAGTTGCGAAGAAGATGGGGGAGCTGATGAAGAAGGACATCAAGTGCGCCCCGGACTGCAAGGCTACGGACGAGGTGAAGGGGATGGTGTCGGCCATGAGCGAGGGAGACGTTCTGATCTTGGAGAACACTCGGTTCTACAAGGGGGAGACCAAGAACGATCCTGAGCTGGCGGAGAGCATGGCCAGCCTGGCGGACCTGTTCGTGAACGACGCGTTCGGCACCGCGCACCGCGCGCACTCCTCCACCGAGGGCGTGACCAAGTTCCTGAAGCCGAGCGTCTCGGGCTTCCTGCTGAAGAAGGAGCTGGACTACTTGAAGGGCGCCGTGGACAGCCCGGTGAAGCCAATGGCGGCCATCGTGGGAGGCGCCAAGGTGAGCACGAAGATCCCGGTGATCGAGTCCATGCTGGAGAAGGTGGACAAGGTGATCATCGGCGGAGGCATGGTGTTCACCTTCCTGAAGGCACGCGGCCTCTCGGTCGGGAACTCCCTGGTGGAGGACGACCTCATCCCAGTTGTGAAAAAGCTGGAGGAGCAGGCCAAGGCCAAGGGCGTCGAGATCATCCTCCCGAGCGACATAGCTTGCGGCGATGAGTTCCCCGCGGGGGGCAAAGAGGTGAACTACAAGGTGGTGCCCGCGGATGATATCCCCGACGGCTGGCTCGGCCTGGACAACGGCCCGAAGGCGACCGAGGAGATCAAGGCTGCTCTGGCGGATTGCAAGACGATCATCTGGAACGGCCCGATGGGCGTGTTCGAGAGCCCGCAGTTCAGCAAGGGCACTTACGACGTGGCCGAGTGCATCGCCGAGCTGACGGAGAAGAACGGCGCCATCAGCATCATTGGTGGCGGTGACTCCGTGTCCGCAGTGAACAAGTCTGGCCTGGCACCGAAGATGTCGCACATCTCCACCGGGGGCGGCGCCAGCCTGGAGCTGCTGGAGGGCAAGGTGCTGCCAGGGGTGGCTGCGCTGGACGAGAAGGAGATGGCCGCCGCGGCGTTCTGCGGACAGCGCAAGGTCCCCAAGGCTTCCAGGACCAGCCTGCGGGCCAAGAAGTCCGTGGAGGACCTGGGCGAGGCGGACCTCAAGGGGAAGACGGTGCTGATCCGGTGCGACCTCAACGTGCCCCTGAACGCGGACCTGGAGATCACGGACGACACGCGTATCACGGCCTCGATCCCGACGATCGAGTACCTCTGCAGCAAGGGCGCCAAGGTGTTGGCGTGCTCCCACCTGGGCCGCCCCAAGGACGGGCCCGAGGAGAAGTTCTCGCTGAAGCCAGTGGCGAAGAAGATGGGGGAGCTGATGAAGAAGGACATCAAGTGCGCCCCGGACTGCAAGGCTACGGACGAGGTGAAGGCGATGGTGTCGGGCATGAGCGAGGGAGACGTGCTGATCCTGGAGAACACTCGGTTCTACAAGGGAGAGACCAAGAACGATCCTGAGCTGGCGGAGAGCATGGCCAGTCTGGCGGACCTGTTTGTGAACGACGCGTTCGGCACCGCGCACCGCGCGCACTCCTCCACCGAGGGCGTGACCAAGTTCCTGAAGCCGAGCGTCTCGGGATTCCTGCTGAAGAAAGAGCTGGACTACTTGAAGGGCGCCGTGGACAGCCCGGTGAAGCCAATGGCGGCCATCGTGGGAGGCGCCAAGGTGAGCACGAAGATCCCGGTGATCGAGTCCATGCTGGAGAAGGTGGACAAGGTGATCATCGGCGGAGGCATGGTGTTCACCTTCCTGAAGGCACGCGGCCTCTCGGTCGGGAACTCCCTGGTGGAGGACGACCTCATCCCAGTTGTGAAAAAGCTGGAGGAGCAGGCCAAGGCCAAGGGCGTCCAGATCATCCTCCCGAGCGACATAGCTTGCGGCGACGAGTTCCCCGCGGGGGGCAAAGAGGTGAACTACAAGGTGGTCCCCGCGGATGATATCCCAGACGGCTGGCTCGGCCTGGACAATGGCCCGAAGGCGACTGAGGAGATCAAGGCTGCTCTGGCGGATTGCAAGACGATTATCTGGAACGGCCCGATGGGCGTGTTCGAGAGCCCGCAGTTCAGCAAGGGCACCTACGACGTGGCGGAGTGCATCGCCGAGCTGACGGAGAAGAACGGCGCCATCAGCATCATTGGTGGCGGTGACTCCGTGTCCGCGGTGAACAAGTCCGGCCTGGCGCCGAAGATGTCGCACATCTCCACTGGGGGCGGTGCCAGCCTGGAGCTGCTGGAAGGCAAGGTGCTGCCAGGTGTGGCTGCGCTGGACGAGAAGGAGATGGCCGCCGCTGCGTTCTGCGGACAGCGCAAGGTCCCCAAGGCTTCCAGGACCAGCCTGCGGGCCAAGAAGTCCGTGGAGGACCTGGGCGAGGCGGACCTCAAGGGGAAGACGGTGCTGATCCGGTGCGACCTCAACGTGCCCCTGAACGCGGACCTGGAGATCACGGACGACACGCGCATCACGGCCTCGATCCCGACGATCGAGTACCTCTGCAGCAAGGGCGCCAAAGTGCTGGCGTGCTCCCACCTTGGCCGTCCCAAGGACGGGCCCGAGGAGAAGTTCTCGCTGAAGCCAGTGGCGAAGAAGATGGGGGAGCTGATGAAGAAGGACATCAAGTGCGCCCCGGACTGCAAGGCCACGGACGAGGTGAAGGGGATGGTGTCGGCCATGAGCGAGGGAGACGTGCTGATCCTGGAGAACACTCGGTTCTACAAGGGAGAGACCAAGAACGATCCTGAGCTGGCGGAGAGCATGGCCAGTCTGGCGGACCTGTTTGTGAACGACGCGTTCGGCACCGCGCACCGCGCGCACTCCTCCACCGAGGGCGTGACCAAGTTCCTGAAGCCGAGCGTCTCGGGATTCCTGCTGAAGAAGGAGCTGGACTACTTGAAGGGCGCCGTAGACAGCCCGGTGAAGCCGATGGCGGCCATCGTGGGCGGCGCCAAGGTGAGCACGAAGATCCCGGTGATCGAGTCCATGCTAGAGAAGGTGGACAAGGTGATCATTGGCGGAGGCATGGTGTTCACCTTCCTGAAGGCACGTGGTCTCTCGGTCGGGAACTCCCTGGTGGAGGACGACCTCATCCCAGTTGTGAAGAAGCTGGAGGAGCAGGCCAAGGCCAAGGGCGTCCAGATCATCCTCCCGAGCGACATAGCTTGCGGCGATGAGTTCCCCGCGGGGGGCAAAGAGGTGAACTACAAGGTGGTCCCCGCGGATGATATCCCAGACGGCTGGCTCGGCCTGGACAACGGCCCGAAGGCGACTGAGGAGATCAAGGCTGCTCTGGCGGATTGCAAGACGATTATCTGGAACGGCCCGATGGGCGTGTTCGAGAGCCCGCAGTTCAGCAAGGGCACCTACGACGTGGCGGAGTGCATCGCCGAGCTGACGGAGAAGAACGGCGCCATCAGCATCATTGGTGGCGGTGACTCCGTGTCCGCAGTGAACAAGTCTGGCCTGGCACCGAAGATGTCGCACATCTCCACCGGGGGCGGCGCCAGCCTGGAGCTGCTGGAGGGCAAGGTGCTGCCAGGGGTGGCTGCGCTGGACGAGAAGGAGATGGCCGCCGCGGCGTTCTGCGGACAGCGCAAGGTCCCCAAGGCTTCCAGGACCAGCCTGCGGGCCAAGAAGTCCGTGGAGGACCTGGGCGAGGCGGACCTCAAGGGGAAGACGGTGCTGATCCGGTGCGACCTCAACGTGCCCCTGAACGCGGACCTGGAGATCACGGACGACACGCGCATCACGGCCTCGATCCCGACGATCGAGTACCTCTGCAGCAAGGGCGCCAAAGTGCTGGCGTGCTCCCACCTTGGCCGTCCCAAGGACGGGCCCGAGGAGAAGTTCTCGCTGAAGCCAGTGGCGAAGAAGATGGGGGAGCTGATGAAGAAGGACATCAAGTGCGCCCCGGACTGCAAGGCCACGGACGAGGTGAAGGGGATGGTGTCGGCCATGAGCGAGGGAGACGTGCTGATCCTGGAGAACACTCGGTTCTACAAGGGAGAGACCAAGAACGATCCTGAGCTGGCGGAGAGCATGGCCAGTCTGGCGGACCTGTTTGTGAACGACGCGTTCGGCACCGCGCACCGCGCGCACTCCTCCACCGAGGGCGTGACCAAGTTCCTTAAGCCGAGCGTCTCGGGATTCCTGCTGAAGAAGGAGCTGGACTACTTGAAGGGCGCCGTAGACAGCCCGGTGAAGCCGATGGCGGCCATCGTGGGCGGCGCCAAGGTGAGCACGAAGATCCCGGTGATCGAGTCCATGCTGGAGAAGGTGGACAAGGTGATCATTGGCGGAGGCATGGTGTTCACCTTCCTGAAGGCACGTGGTCTCTCGGTCGGGAACTCCCTGGTGGAGGACGACCTCATCCCAGTTGTGAAGAAGCTGGAGGAGCAGGCCAAGGCCAAGGGCGTCGAGATCATCCTCCCGAGCGACATAGCTTGCGGCGATGAGTTCCCCGCGGGGGGCAAAGAGGTGAACTACAAGGTGGTCCCCGCGGATGATATCCCAGACGGCTGGCTCGGCCTGGACAACGGCCCGAAGGCGACTGAGGAGATCAAGGCTGCTCTGGCGGATTGCAAGACGGTTATCTGGAACGGCCCGATGGGCGTGTTCGAGAGCCCGCAGTTCAGCAAGGGCACCTACGACGTGGCGGAGTGCATCGCCGAGCTGACGGAGAAGAACGGCGCCATCAGCATCATTGGTGGCGGTGACTCCGTGTCCGCGGTGAACAAGTCCGGCCTGGCGCCGAAGATGTCGCACATCTCCACTGGGGGCGGTGCCAGCCTGGAGCTGCTGGAAGGCAAGGTGCTGCCAGGTGTGGCTGCGCTGGACGAGAAGGAGATGGCCGCCGCTGCGTTCTGCGGACAGCGCAAGGTCCCCAAGGCTTCCAGGACCAGCCTGCGGGCCAAGAAGTCCGTGGAGGACCTGGGCGAGGCGGACCTCAAGGGGAAGACGGTGCTGATCCGGTGCGACCTCAACGTGCCCCTGAACGCGGACCTGGAGATCACGGACGACACGCGCATCACGGCCTCGATCCCGACGATCGAGTACCTCTGCAGCAAGGGCGCCAAAGTGCTGGCGTGCTCCCACCTGGCCGCCCCAAGGACGGGCCCGAGGAGAAGTTCTCGCTGAAGCCAGTGGCGAAGAAGATGGGGGAGCTGATGAAGAAGGACATCAAGTGCGCCCCGGACTGCAAGGCCACGGACGAGGTGAAGGGGATGGTGTCGGCCATGAGCGAGGGAGACGTTCTGATCCTGGAGAACACTCGGTTCTACAAGGGAGAGACCAAGAACGATCCTGAGCTGGCGGAGAGCATGGCCAGCCTGGCGGACCTGTTTGTGAACGACGCGTTCGGCACCGCGCACCGCGCGCACTCCTCCACCGAGGGCGTGACCAAGTTCCTGAAGCCGAGCGTCTCGGGCTTCCTGCTGAAGAAGGAGCTGGACTACTTGAAGGGCGCCGTAGACAGCCCGGTGAAGCCGATGGCGGCCATCGTGGGCGGCGCCAAGGTGAGCACGAAGATCCCGGTGATCGAGTCCATGCTGGAGAAGGTGGACAAGGTGATCATTGGCGGAGGCATGGTGTTCACCTTCCTGAAGGCACGTGGTCTCTCGGTCGGGAACTCCCTGGTGGAGGACGACCTCATCCCAGTTGTGAAGAAGCTGGAGGAGCAGGCCAAGGCCAAGGGCGTCGAGATCATCCTCCCGAGCGACATAGCCTGCGGCGACGAGTTCCCCGCGGGGGGCAAAGAGGTGAACTACAAGGTGGTGCCCGCAGATGCGATCCCAGACGGCTGGCTCGGCCTGGACAACGGCCCGAAGGCGACCGAGGAGATCAAGGCTGCTCTGGCGGATTGCAAGACGATCATCTGGAACGGCCCGATGGGCGTGTTCGAGAGCCCGCAGTTCAGCAAGGGCACCTACGACGTGGCGGAGTGCATCGCCGAGCTGACGGAGAAGAACGGCGCCATCAGCATCATTGGTGGCGGTGACTCCGTGTCCGCGGTGAACAAGTCCGGCCTGGCGCCGAAGATGTCGCACATCTCCACTGGGGGCGGTGCCAGCCTGGAGCTGCTGGAAGGCAAGGTGCTGCCAGGTGTGGCTGCGCTGGACGAGAAGGAGATGGCCGCCGCTGCGTTCTGCGGACAGCGCAAGGTCCCCAAGGCTTCCAGGACCAGCCTGCGGGCCAAGAAGTCCGTGGAGGACCTGGGCGAGGCGGACCTCAAGGGGAAGACGGTGCTGATCCGGTGCGACCTCAACGTGCCCCTGAACGCGGACCTGGAGATCACGGACGACACGCGCATCACGGCCTCGATCCCGACGATCGAGTACCTCTGCAGCAAGGGCGCCAAGGTGCTGGCGTGCTCCCACCTGGGGCGCCCCAAGGACGGGCCCGAGGAGAAGTTCTCGCTGAAGCCAGTGGCGAAGAAGATGGGGGAGCTGATGAAGAAGGACATCAAGTGCGCCCCAGACTGCAAGGCTACGGACGAGGTGAAGGGGATGGTGTCGGCCATGAGCGAGGGCGACGTGCTGATCCTGGAGAACACTCGTTTCTACAAGGGGGAGACCAAGAACGACCCCGAGCTGGCGGAGAGCATGGCCAGTCTGGCGGACCTGTTCGTGAACGACGCGTTCGGCACCGCGCATCGCGCGCACTCCTCCACCGAGGGCGTGACCAAGTTCCTGAAGCCGAGCGTCTCGGGCTTCCTGCTGAAGAAGGAGCTGGACTACCTGAAGGGAGCCGTGGACAGCCCGGTGAAACCGATGGCGGCCATCGTGGGCGGCGCCAAGGTGAGCACGAAGATCCCGGTGATCGAGTCTATGCTGGAGAAGGTGGACAAGGTGATCATCGGCGGAGGCATGGTGTTCACCTTCCTGAAGGCACGCGGCCTCTCGGTCGGAAACTCCTTGGTGGAGGACGACCTCATCCCAGTTGTGAAGAAGCTGGAGGAGCAGGCCAAGGCCAGGGGCGTCGAGATCATCCTCCCGAGCGACATAGCATGCGGCGACGAGTTCCCCGCGGGGGGCAAAGAGGTGAACTACAAGGTGGTGCCCGCAGATGCGATCCCAGACGGCTGGCTCGGCCTGGACAACGGCCCGAAGGCGACCGAGGAGATCAAGGCTGCTCTGGCGGATTGCAAGACGATCATCTGGAACGGCCCGATGGGCGTGTTCGAGAGCCCGCAGTTCAGCAAGGGCACCTACGACGTGGCCGAGTGCATCGCCGAGCTGACGGAGAAGAACGGCGCCATCAGCATCATTGGTGGCGGTGACTCCGTGTCCGCGGTGAACAAGTCCGGCCTGGCACTGAAGATGTCGCACATCTCCACCGGGGGCGGCGCCAGCTTGGAGCTGCTGGAGGGCAAGGTGCTGCCAGGCGTCGCCGCCCTGGACAACGCATGAGGGCGGGCCCTCCCAGGATCCTCCTCGCCGCATTGCGCCCGGCTGCCAGGGCATTTAATGGTGGAGCTCGTTGGCATACCAGGCCTCCACTCCGATGGCCATTCCTGCATGGCAGGGCATGTTTTTTTCTTCCGGCTTGAGTTTTAATGCCGCTCTTTCGGCTTAGGTTTCACGGGCGCAGGGGCAAGCCAGCTTTTGCGGCCCGGACAGATGTTCGGAAGCCGTGCTGCCAAGGTGTATGTAGCAACTCCGACCGCAGCATTACCGTATTACCCTGGAGCGTGTGCTCATGTTGGTGGCGACCTAGTCGGCTCAACAAAAAACACCTTCGGGGTCCCTCTGGCAGTGTCGACATGCGGCCCCTCCTCCGCCAATGTCGGCACACTCCCCACCTGTTCCGTGGCCCCGCAGGGAGCTCCAGCTGAGGTCCGAGCGGCACAGTCCGCATGCATCCCTCGGGGGTCCCCAAACGGAGTAGTGACCACACCGTGCGGTGAGTCGGTGGGGGTTCGGGGTCACCGCACGGTTTTAGGACTCGGGTCGTTCTCCGAGGACGTCTCGGGCGACTGGGGCATCCGAGGTCCCAAAGCCGTGCGTTGACGGACCGTGCTGTGAGGTCTTGGGGATTTCGAGGTCACCGCACGGTCTGCCACCGCACTGCTTCGGGACTCCCAAATCCCCCCCGCCCTTTTCGGCGCACCCTTCAAACGCTTCTTGGCCCCATACGGAGCTCCACCGAAGATCCAGGTGACGCAGTCCACAAGCGTCCCGCCCTCCGATTGCGGCACACTCCCCACACGCTTCGTGGTCCCATAGGGAGCTCCACAGAAGGTCCCGCTAGCACAATCGGCACGCGCCCTCCCCGACCATTTCGACCATTTCGGCACACCCCTCACACGTTCCGTAGCCCCGTGTAGGGAGCTCCGCCTAAGGGCCCAGTAGCTGCCTGTTCGGCCCCAAACGATCCGCGCGTGTCGCTGGAATTCCCTCACGGCGGCCAGCGCGCGTCGCGGGGACTCCTCTGCGCTCCGCCTCCTTGAGGGCGACGGGCTTGCATGTTGCTTGCGGGCGCCTGGAAGAAGGGGCTCCCCGAGCGCCCGATCGCTCGTCGCCCCATGCCCCCCGTGTTCCCCCGTTCGCCGTCACCCTCGTCCTACTCCGCGCCCCAGCCCTTCTGCTGCGCCCCCCCCATCCCTCTTCCCAGCTGCCTCGCGACAGTCGCAGCTTCACACGGTTGGGTCCGCCGCACGAGGCGTGATGTCCTAAGAGAGGCGCGCGCTGGTACACAGCAGCGCGCCGTTTGCCGGCGGAGCGGGCGCAGGCTCCGGGCGGCTGGCCCGCCCCTGAAGCAACGCGCACATCGTCCGCACGCTTCTCAGACGCGGAACGGCGTGATCAGTTGCTGCGCGCTGCGTCTGCAGTAGGAGCTCGACCACAAGAGACCCTCCACGAGAAGCCCAACCCTGAGGCCCCGGGACGTTCATTGACTTCTGGTGTGGGATCGCCACGCTCTCCATCGCAAAGCCATCGAAGCCCAGGAAACCCAGGGCACCCTGGAGGCAAGCAGGGTATTTCTTGGCATGGGTCTCCACCGGACAATTCCTGCGGGTGCGGCGGCCCCGTCCGCCGCCCAGCCCTGGGAGCATGCGAGAACTCGCCTCTTCGCGGATCAGGCCTGCCCGGCGTGTCAGGCGCTCGTCCCCGGGGCGCCGCGGCCCTGGCCAGGCCAGCCTGCAGCTCACGGGGCGAGGCCCACGCGGATTTCTCCGATCCGCGCTGGGCCCTCGAGGCGGCGCCTCCAGCGCCGCCCCTGGCGCGCTCGATCCGAGGAATCCGCGCGGACTGCCGAGTGACTATGGTTGTGTCATGTTCGTTCCCCCAGCGTGTCGCCAGATGCGGAGGGGGCACTTCTGCCCCAGACCTTGACGTAGAATGGTCCCCCTCCTGCTCTTCCGTCTCTTCCCACAGAGCGGCGAGCATACCGGGGGCGGCCTCGCATTCGGGAAAGGGTATTCGGCGGGGTCGGCGGAGTCGATTCATGTCGTGCAGATGTCTGATCGTCGCGTTTTGATGAGTTCCGTTTGCACGCAAGCGCCCTCTTCCAGAGGTCGGGCTCTAGCACCCCGCACCCGGTCACCGTTTTCACGTGATTGTTGCAATCCGTTCCCGTCCAGGGGTTTGCGTTGACCAGTGTTCCTGGCCATCGTCCTTGGGCCATTCCCCTGGCCTTGATTTGAATGATCCCTCTCGTATTTTCATCTCTTACGGCAGTGCGGCCAGCAATGCGAAGGGGAAGAGGGAGGGGGAGGCGGGGGCCTGATGGTGGAGGAGGGATGAACGGAGGAAGGGGGGAAGAAGAGGACGAGGAGGAGGAGGAGGAGGACGAGGAGGACGAGGAGGAGGAGGAGGAGGAGGAGGAGGAGGAGGAGGAGGAGGAGGAGGAAGGGGAGGAGGAGGAGAAGGAGGAGGAGGAAGAGGACGAGGAGGAGGAGGACGAGGAGGAGGAGGAGGAGGAAGAGGAGGAGGAGGGGGAGGGCGAGGGAAAGCAAAAGCTGGGGAGGGAGAGGAGGAAATGAGAGACATGAAGTGGCCCCGTAGCGTCAAGGTGGTCAGAACAATCGCTGGAATCGTGCTCGCTCTTCGGGTCCAAGCGGAGGGACTAGCGCAAGCCTCGTAGGGGCCGTGGCCTTCACCGACATCCAGAAGCTCGTGGAGGTCGCCGAGCAGTTGGGTGACAAAGACACCGTCACGAAGTATCGCGATGATATTGCCAAACGGACCCCGCAAAACCTGTACACCAGCGAGCAGCACAGGCCCAGAGGAGAGTGGGGGCCATCGAGCGACAGCTCAACGCCGCCACAGAGCTGGCAGCGAGCTCCGCACCCAGGTCGAGTCCCAAGGGGAGCTGGTCCAGCAGCTGGTGGAGGAGCTCAACCTGGCAGAGAGCGAGTACAAGAAGGTGGTGGCAGAGGAGCACAGCACCACTGTCGGATCACAGCCTGCCAGTACGTCGCAGACCGCACCCACGTCCAAGCTCAACTTGCGCGCCGTGCTGGACGGGACCGCCGAGGGCTTCACCTTCGGCGATGACGGCATGTTCGATATTGGCGAAGACTACGAGTTCAGCACTGATGACGCACAGCAGATTGCCAAGCGTAAAGAGGAGCTCTGCAAGAGCCTACAAGATATGCCGGCGAAGCTCTTCGCCGAAGCCAAGTCCAAGTGCGACGCCACCCGCGCCGAGGTGAATAACCAGAAGAAGCAGCTCGCCAGTAAGCGGCAACGCGCTGAATCTGCGCCTCCTGATGGGCGTGTTCTAGCTCCTGCAGCAGGCGGTGCCGGAGCTGAAGTTCCGGGGCCTCCTCCAGCAGTGCCCAAGCCCAAGGCAGGAGCCACTCCTGCCTCACCGCCTTCGGAGCCCAGCCAACCTGTCAGCGCCAAGGAAAAGGCCACTACCGCCCATTCAGCAGCTGGCGTCAAGGGCGCGGGCAAAGGTGCTTGGGCCCAGGCGAAGGCGGCCTCCCCAGCAGTGGGGCAACACGAACCATCTCCCCACGGGACCTTCGAGCACGACCGCACCGACTCCGAGGAGTGTGCGTTTTGCCGCAGCGCCTGAAGTTCAGTATTTCCACGTGTGGGACACTGCCATGCAGAAGCCGATGCGGGGGAACGCGTCGCAGCCGTGCATTGACAGTTTTGGCAAGATCCAGCTCGTACCGCGGTGGCGCGCAGCATGGAAGGCAACAACCGCACGATCAAGGGGGTCGAGTGGAACTGCTACCGCCTGTTCGCTTGAGAGCCCGCCCACGCCGTCTATGGCTACCCCACCGTCAACCAGGGAGCCCGCGGCGAGCCAGGTCTTGGGCGGTTCGATTCCAGCCACGCCAACCAGAACCCAGATGGTGTAAAGGACCCAGACGGCAACTCTTTCAGCCGGAACACCGGCTTCGAGAAGCCAGATGCCTAGGAGTTCGATTTCGGGAACCAGCTCGGGAAGCCAAACCTCCAGGAGGACCCAGAGACTAACGTCGGACACCGCCATCCCCCAGAGCGTCACTGCTTTTCAAGATAATGCCAGATCAGAGATTGTGAAAAGCTTGGACGCAAAATGAGACCCGATGGAGTACCTGGACCCAGACCTCGCCGGCGGCGTCACCTCAGATCAGCTTTCGCCCGAACCCGAGCCCGAGTTGAACGAACTAAAGGACCAGCAGCCGCCACAGGGGGCACACGCCACGCGCGCAGGAGCCCCCTCGGGGTCAAGCCCGCGGCCAGCAGTCTCATGCGACGCCACGCGCACTCAGGAAGCTCGGGAAGCATCACTGGACGGTCGAGGCCCGCCCTGCCAACGTCACCACAGCCCCCGGGGGGTCTGGCAGAGGAGGAAC